GTGGTAAATACCCTTCTGATCAACAAGGGCGGCAACTGCCTGTGGTGATGATGAGCTGAGGCAGACTTTGGCCTGGCTAACCTCGGGACTCCGGGAACTACAATAAACACGGCTAAAGCAGAAAAACTCGGAAAAAATAGAGATTACGCTGGGGCCCACATAACCACTGAGGACGGCCCATCCAAGTATCCAAGTAAATTTCGTTATACATGATTTTGCTTTAGCTACTTAGCCATAATATTCTTCTCTGTAACTCTTGTTCTTCATAAAAAATTCATGTACCCGAAAAGCTTTTCTTTCGAAAACTTAAAAATGAAAGAGTTACGGGTTTTTTCATAGCTATGGGAGAAGAACGACGTTGGCATCTTCATTCCATAATGGTAATTGAACACGACACTTTCAATCTATACAGGCAAGGTGACAACACTTAGAATTACATTATAACACCTTTACATATCACAGTTGTTTTTTGATCATTTTTCATACTTCTACACTACATAAATTTTCGTATTATTCGCGTACAGCGCATGATTATTTAAATTCTATTACATATATAGTGGGATAATATATTATATTTCAAAACCGACTTTCCTTTAACCTCGGTATGACTGGTCAATATGTATACTTTCTTTGATAAGCCTACACGTGGTTGATAAACAATTTTTATTCGACTAATGTTTCGACGTCTTCGCCTTCGTATCGAGTTGTGTCTTCATCAGCGGACCATCTCTCGAAGAAGAACTGTGGACCATCGACTCGGATCATCGGCTCTGATGAAGACGAAGACGTCGAAACACTTGCCAAGTAAAAATTGTTTACCAATCTCGTGTAAGCTTATCAAAGAAAGAATACATGTTAATATATTATTGTTGTTAAGATCCAATATATTGCGATAAAATACGTTATCTTATACTACAATACAACTGCAACTGTATTAAGTACATTCAGGATTACATCACATAATCAGTTCCATAGAAAAAGTACCCAGTTGATAAAAAGATTAACGAAAAGTTGCATGAAAGTTATGAAATTCAGATTTCCTTATGGAGATTGGATTGGAACCGGAAATTCGGTGAGGACTCAGAGACGACTACTACGATTCATAATAGAAGTTCAATCTCGCACAGAATCATTTATACTACTACCATCTTATATGGAAAGGTCGCGTGTGGTGCGGTGATCGGAGGTGCTCTGCAACACACACTTGGAATCGATCCCAGCGTCCATGGCCCAGTAAGCCTTCCAATCCTCCGGGATAGGCAAATTGCTTCCAGACTTGTCTGGGGTGATAGCAGCACCGAATCGATACATCGGTAGGCCACTGCGAGTCATTGTAAAGGCCCAGATATGCATTCAATCACCTCCAAACGATGTTTAGTGAAGTCGAATGCATAGCGTATCCCTCAGGAATTGATCAATGCCGATAGGTTTATCTTTTTTATCCTTTAGTCTTATATGGTGTTGAGGAGATAGTGTAGAAACAACTGAGAATAGAGTATCAACGTCAAAATAGTCATCCAAGAGTAGGCAGAGCAAAAATTTGCAGCATCGTCACTGTTATTTCGTGAACGAACCTCTTTCTATAGAATCACTTCTGACCACAGAACCGTACAAACAGCCCCATTCGTTTGAGTTCACTGTGCTCCCGCCAAATCGTTTAATCACAAAAGTCCTCTATACACCATTCATCCATTCATCATTCCTTCATTCGTCCACTCATTTATTCATCTACTCACCATTCATTCAATAGATTTGGTAAAAGGTACGCGTAGCATAATCGAGAGTGTTTCTAGCCAGATGGCTTTGACGACAGATTTCTCGGAGCCAGTTGTTGCGCTCACGAGTTAACTTTATGACTAAACAGCAACCGTATCGCTTTCAATCAGATCATTCCAGAAATCACCCAGTGTCGTGGTATTGAACGCAGAGGGTGAACCGTTTCCGATTGTACCGGTGAATGTTCCCGAAGAATGAACATAATCGATAATCGAATACCTCTTATGGATAGAATTACAGCAGACGAATGTTGTGATATCTTATCATGAATGAATCATTAAATTCTGGCAAACAAGGAGAATTAGGTTTAAATGACGAAGAAAAATTCAAAAATCATGTTTGAAAATCAATTTTATGGGAAAGTAAAGGATTGCGAATTGTTTTATAAGAACTTCACCCGAACAGGTCAACTTCAGTGAATGTGAAACCACAATGGTTTAGCTCCTTGTCACGGATAAGAACGATCCCAAGTATAGAGGTGCAGCCGGAAGCTCTTTTACCATTTAGACTCATAAAAAGTTTGGCACTGGTGCTGCAGATATACGAATGGGCTAATATGATCACCATAATAGAATTCTTATTGTAAAACGGCAATCTTAACGACAATTCATAAAAATCGGCAACTACTAGCTTTGACAATCTGAAAGCAACATGTAGACCAATGAAATAAAGTGGGACCATTCCTTGCGAACACGGAACTTACGAGGGATAAAAGGAATAGAAAACTGGAGTGATAGAAGCCATAAATAATCACGGCCTATCTAGTACGGTTTCGGACTCCATCTCACACAATGCTAAACAAACCGCAATAAACCGCTGTAGACCTTATCAAGAGAAAGCAAGCTACTTTAAAAATGACCTGCCTTCCAGATATTCTCATCACCTTCAGCTAACAACCCCCGTGTTCTAATCGCCCTTATTGCTCAGGTTTGTTTCATTGGCATGAAATATGAGGCGCGGCCAGTTCGTAAAGCATTACAATTTGAGGCTGAAGCCAATTTGCCACATGTGCTCAGGAGAAGGTTGTAATCTGGCCACTAGAACATGTCAGCACGCTGTCAAAATACTACACACCTGACCTCATGGACAAGTCCACAGTACTTTCATCACTCCCTGAAGACGTTGATGTTCTAGCATTCCGGGAATGACGCCGTCAGTACTAAGAGGGCAAAAAAGCAAGCGCAGGCCGATTTGATCTAGAGAACTAGGAGCTACACTCTCATGAAAAGAGCATTCTATGTGACTATACTGCTGCAACTACTCAGTGTCTTTTCTAAAGTGAAAGTATTAACAAGATTTCTGTAATGAACCAGATGCAGTTTTCTAATGGTTTATCACCCCAAGATAGTGAGCGATTCCCTTCGAGCCGCCTAGTTCATCCTGATAAAATCATCCATTCTGAGAAAGACTTTTAAATTTCTCTCCGAGTGGGCCATTGAGAAAGAAGCAACCTGGAGTTAAAAGTGAAAAAGTGTCTTTGAACAATTAGGGTTCGGTGGGAGTTGATTTCCACCCACGTAATGCAAAAATTACACCGCTTTCAACATTAAGCCATTATATCACCGCTCCAAGTAATCTTATCAGAGTCTAATAAAAACTTCTAGAATCTACAATTTTTCGCCTGCAGAATGAAAACTCTCTTTTCTTGCTGCAACGAAATCCTGGTTTTCTGGAACGTTCTACTTATGTACACAGTACACAGTGGACTTTTTCATAGACGTCCATATTTCGAAAACGATGCCCTCATTACCGAAGAAAGGATCCACATGATTTACATATCGTTGCATATAACAACTGTATTTGAAAAAAAGATAGCAATCTTAACTTTTTATTTACTGCTTATTTACGCGTGATACAATTACAATGATGCCAAGATATTTGCAAAACTCCGAACCGCATGTGTCAGCGGTAAGGAACGAACGCGCTACCACCCTTTCCGGGGTCTAACGTGTTCATTACCACCACCCTTCGCTTTGCCTGTCTCTCAAATAGTTCTATCGATCAGCGCCATCACCAATCACCCGTCAATAGTATTGAACTAGGGAGCCCAAATCGGCAACGAACCCAATTAAGCTGAGGTTGTAGATGTTAACTTTTTAATTTACTGCCTATTACAAATTTTTCATGGTAGGGTATTAGGTGTGATACAACCACAATGATGCCGTCCCCGCGGTCCGAAGGAAGATAGCATTTATCAATATAGTACACTGTGATCATCCCTTTTAGGCTTCAGGAATGCCGTTTCCAGAGTAATTTTGCGCTTATCTATGGGGAAAAAAGTTCATCAGTAGCTATGGGAAAGCTAGTAATTCAAGAGTATGCTATAATCTGCTACCCCAGTGCTCTTCATATCCACCTGGATTATTTTTTAAAAATCTCTAAGGCAAAATAGAAAGTGCTACATTTGACGGTAAATGTCAAATTTCAACCAGAACATAGTCGTAATGAAAGTGTTGGCATCGGTAAAATTGCACTGCTTACTTTTATGAACCAAAAAGAATCAGAATTCAAAGATGCAATACTATACAGAAACTTACAGTACCAGTTATAACACTTCTTGTTGTTTTATGAAACCGACGAAATAAGAAACGCTCACCTAGAAATATGTCGATGCTCTTTACATAGGAGACCTTTGGCATGGCCGACTAAAACAAAATTACTGTATATTTTCATAAGTGTCATAAATCAAATGCCCAAGAAATCTTTATTTTCATACCAATCATTATCAGACACGAGTGAAAAGGAAAAGCATCAGAAACACTATCAGGATTTTCTCAATGTTTTAATAGATGTTTTCAAACGGTTCTGGTAGGTTATGAATAGGAACACCACCTGTACAAAATTATGCTGCTTTCTGCTAGAAAAACCCTATATTTCATGTAGTTATAAGAGATGCTGAGGTGTACGACGCAGACTAGAGGTAAGTGGTAAAGCATCTGGCACTAACCAATCTCAGAAGGATATCCTATACATTCGATTCTAGTTGTAGTAAGTTAGAGGTTATTGAAGCTATATTCGGTTTATGCAATGAGATTAGGGGCTTATTGATGTATTAAATCAGTATTTTCACCTTCCTAGTACTAAACTGCCGAACCCGTAAGGATAGGGGTTGCATTGTCTGGACACCACTACTGAACCATCGACGACGTCTGTATTGCAACGCGTCTCTAATGAGTGGTCCAATTTCAAACTACCAAGTATAATATTGGTATCGGAAAGTGCTACTATATCGTTTTGGTTGGAAGACAACATTCAGTTCTCGCTGGCAACCAATCGATACACATATCTGTCATGCACACACTTACATTAGTGGTTGTCATCAACGTGGTCATCGTTAGCACAGTCGTCACTCCCAGTGCCACTCGTGCCGGTGTAGCATCACGACTCAACCAAAACGACACCTACAACAACGTAGTTCTTCCGAATGTAAAGGAAAATGAGTGCACAGTTCTAAACTACCGTACCCATGAAATCACGACGATAAGAACAGATGGCAGGTAAATTTGAATGATATAGAAGCCGATACTGCGTTTGAACAAGAAATAGCTAACCAGGCGCGAATATTCACCTGGAAACTCGAAATGTAGACTGAAAAATTGTTCTGGAGCCAAAAAATTGGTAAATATGCGCGTTAATTTTGACTACTTGGTGAATGCACATTCCATTGATAAGGTTTTATAAAACATAAACATTTAGGAACAAATAAGAGATAAAATTAGAGAGCAAACATCAATTGATGGTACCTTTTCACAATGGACAATTATTAGTAAAGTAAAGTAAAGCAATTATTTATGCAATATCATCTTTTTTATGAGCTATTTATGAGCCCCAGTTCTGCGGCATTCGGATTCTTCCCGAAAATACGCAGTAGGTGTACCCACTAGATCACTTACATATATGAGACAGCTGCGCTAAAGCTTAAAGTCGACTTCATGTGAAAAATCGGATATGCCCTTAAGATGACCATTGCTTTCGCTGGCTAAGTGGTTGCTAGATCCAAAATGGTCCCACTCATAACCCGATGGCGAACAGAATGTAAGAGAATGACATTCGATCCCAAATCGCGACATAAACGACTGGAGTGGGAACGCATTGAGCCCAATGCGCATAGTCTAATTTGCCCACACGATACAGTGGCGAAAAACTCGCCCGAAGAAGATGGTTTATAAGTTGCTAATTCAGAGAATAAATTTTCACGGTATTCAAATGCAAAAAATATAAAGAATAAACAATTTGGAGCAAGATAAAACCGGGAAATAATGTGCGTTGACATCTGTGCAAAAGGTCCTTGTAATCCTCGATAGAAAAAAATAACAACTGTAACAGCAAACATCACCTTTTTCTTTCAAATTTATCCAAATCCTTCGAAAATTTCCACCCTCATATGTGTGCTAGTTTTTGTTAGATATAAAATATTTGACTTGAAAAAAACACAACTACTTTTTCATGTTTGGCATATAAGTATAAATTCACCTGAACTGAGCTTCTCAGTTTTGTTGCTGATCTTCACGTCCACAAGTACGAATTGTGGTAACTCGAATTCAGACCTGGTCACCGAATTCTCCGATGCGAATACATAGTTTATGTCCAGGATACTGTAGCCGTCTGAAACGCGACGCGTGCACGCACCGCGCGTCGATATCGATCGTAAATGCGCCACTGCCGCGCGGCTATCGGTCGTGACGCTGGCGCCACTGGCGCAATTGCGGCAGCGACGCGTTGTGGCACACAATAAGCGTGAGAAAAAGTGCATACGGTAGAAAAGAATCACTGGCGGTCTGTCGTTATCATGCTTACAATTGGATATCATGCAACATTAATCACGCAACGTTTAGGACGAAGAACGACAGCGATGTTATAAAAAACAGTAGCGAGTTATACACATAAAAATAGAGAGACAATTAAAGTTCACCTTATCGGTTACAGTATCGACAGCGCTGACGTGGTCCAAAACAGTTGTGGACGGTCGACTAAAACCTGTTCGGAGGCGTGGGGAAGTGCCAAGGTGATAAGAGGAGAGGTACATGGGTTTATGGGTGTTGAACACATGTTTTTATGTTAAGCCTACCTAATTGGACCTGGTGCAACCTTTTTACTACAAACTACAGATCTTCATTATTATACATCATATATGTATAGTACACGCCTACACACTGCTACATCTACTAGTGCTGAGCTGAGACACGCTATGCGTGTCAGCACCCACCATTTCTTGACCGCAAGTTGACAGCTGTCGAGAAATGTTGGCCAGCTTCAAGAAGCAAAAAAGACGCCGGCACGGCTTTATGTAAATGACCACTTACAGCTTTCTATTTCCAATTTGCATCGTTGCGAGTCCATCGGAAATAACTGAAGCTTCATTGGGCAGGTAGCGGTGACTGTCAGCCTGAAAGTTGGAAGAGTCTCTTTCATTTTGACTATAGGTGCAGCTAAATTCCTCAGTTACTGATCGACTAGTTTTCATCTTCTTCACGCATTCGCTCTTCTCATTCGCATTCTGCTAAACTTGCGCCTCGTAATATTATTCATTTGGTTACCTTTCCATCCACTGCCTATTCTTATTCTTCACGGTAGCGCATGTGTGCTATGCAACCACTTTGATGCTGAGATATTTACAAAACTTAGATACAAGGCCAGATAGAACCGCGGTTACCCCTTACGGGAGTTCATGTGTTACACACGGCACCGCGGAGGCCTCTGCTTTGCCATTCTCTCAACCATTATTTATTTTATTCTATACCACATAATTTTTCTACTATGTCCTAACCAGCTTTCAATTTAGAGCTTCTTTTCCAGTGAATTCCTACTTCAAAAGATCTCTTCGTCTTTTAAATGCTTTATTATTTCTGAGTCGACTGAACCCGATCTGGCATGAGTTTCACGAAACTGAAAGGAAGAAATCTTGTCACATCAGCTATAATTCAATTAGAAATCGTGTTGCCACTCATCTCATATTGTGAAGATGGGCCTTTCAAATGCTAACCATCAACAATTCTCAATTTTTATATTACGCTCACTATCATATATACTATTATATCGTTCGTTATCACAGTTTAACAAAGAGCGCGCGTAGCGCAGTGGTTAGAGGTGCCTTGTTCTACACACGCACAGGTGTCGTCGGTTCACTCCTGTGCCTCTCGTCCAACCAGTTTTGCATCCCTCCGGGCTCGGAAAATTGGTAGAACACTTGTCTGAGCGGACAGCAGCATTGACTCGATACATCGGTAGAAGGCTCCGAGTTAATGTATAGGCCAACTATGCATTAAATCACCTCTAATGATGCTTAGTGAAGTCGAACGCAATGCGCATTCCTCAGAGGTTGGTTCACACCGAACGCTTTACCCTTTCGTCCTTATTATGCAAAACTTCCAATCCGAAGAATTCACATATAGTATTTACTTATAAGGACCTAATCCTCAATTCTTGGAAGGAAAATGATAGTTAGGGCAAGATCTGGCGGAGTCTTTTAGAGCTTATGATATGAATGGGCTACTATTAGGGAATTCAAGTGCTGTCGGAAAAGCCTCGTTTTATCAAATGGCTACACCGTGACAAAGATTAAGAGCTGCACTCAAGTTAAGAATCAAATATCTATATAACAAGAGGAAAAGAAAACACCTTTGATCCTGAACATAATTCGAGGACATGAAACGAATACAACAAGGACTATGGCATAGGAGTCTAGACGCTATAGCTTTCCTTCATTGTTTTTCGCTACAACTACCGGTTGTAGAAGCACTCAAAAAATTCATCTGCTGAAAACGATAAAATCGAAAAGTCGTAGACCATTAACGACTTCTTGATTCTTACTATTTAAGTGGTCCGTTTTCATAAAAAGTCGAACTCTTGCATAAACCTCCGTCGAACCTTCATTTAACTCATATATTGTATATTTTTGACGAGTTTTTCCACCGATTTCAAAGAAATCTGCACAGCACGTTACCAAGTCAACACACCTGTCATTCGTTGGCAATCGTTGACATATACTTACACACCTTCTGGATAGAAATGTCATACTCCTAAAGTATAGAGATTTCTAACCATTTTAATTCGACAAGCACCAACAATCTTTCTCAGACACAAGGAGGCAGTTGGATGGGTGATGAGCCTTCGAGAACTCCGTGAAAACAGATCTCAAGTTATCTTTCCCTCTAAACGAAGATGTAATGAAGCAGAAAAGAAAGCCGCTGAGCGCGTCATTCTGGCAGGAATCGAGGACAACTAAACTATTGTGTTAATCCTCCGACGGCGCTAGATATTCCGGAACAAGCGATAAGCACTAAACGAGGGAAAACGATTGGTAACGGAACTTTGCTCCGTCACTCATCCATGAAGATCGCTTCTTGATAAAGATCAACTATTAAAACGTCCCCTTCATCTTAGATGCTCATGAAAACGCATCCTTTAAAAACATCCTTTAGTTATGCATTGTAGAACAGAGTAACACTGCAACACATAGAGCGTTCGTTTCCCATCGCACCTCACGCAACGTCGATGTGAGAAACTTGCTTGCGAAATGGTTGTAAATTTAATAAACAAAATCTAACTGATGTTTCGAAAAAATATAAACATATATATGATGTTATTTCCACAGAGTGATATATATTATGCTTATCGGAAATTTTTGCAACAGTAGACATTTTTAAAATTCGGTATACTCACTGATTTCAGCATTAAAAAAACTACAGCACTACCCTCGTCACGACACAACTGAATTCCCTAGACCTGTGGAAGATTTTGCACATGCACTGTTCGGCCTTGTAGCGCAGTGGTCGGAGGGACTCTGCAATACACATGGGATCGATCCCCGCTCTCAAGTCTCATAAAGCCTTCCATCCTTCCGGGGTAGGCAAATTGGTACCAGACTTGTCCGGGAGGATAGCAGCACCCACTAGAAACAACGGTAGGTCATTGCCAGTTACTTTAAACGTCAGCTATGCGTGGGTTCAATCCCCTCCAACGATGCTTAATGAAGTCGAAAGCATGATGAATCTCTCAGGGTTTGATCAACGCTGAAAGCTTGTTGCTGTTCAGTCTGTATGACACGCGGATGATCCATGTAGGAATAGTGACAGGCGATGAACTTACTGATTTTTAACTCTTTTATTTATTGCCTTTTTCTTTTTAATGGCAGGGTATGCTGCGAAATATAACTCGTATATAATGCTGAGATATTTGCAAAACTCCGGACCGCAGGTGTATGCGGTGGAGAACGAACGCGCGCTGTTGTGCTTACCGAGAACAATTCCGTTGACGGGTGATTGCTGATGGCAAAAGATCGACAGAACTAGCTGAGAGACAGGCAAAACGAAGGACCCAAATGGTGTGGTGGTGAAGTGCGCTACTCCCTGGTAACGACAATTGCGCGCGTTCGTTCTCCATCGCATACACCTGCGGTCCGGGGTTTTGCAAATATTTCAGCATTATATACGAGTTACTGATTTTTTTTGAATTAGGAATAGATTTTTAAACATTTTTCTCTCGTAGAAGATTTCTGGAAATTCGAAGAAAGTAGTAGCCGGATGTATCGTTTTTTGAACTATAACTGGATGTGAATGGACTTTCCAAACAAAGCGCACTCAACAAATGCGCTGAATCAAAGGCTAAAGTAAAAAATAAAGTAGCGTAAAGGCATGGAAAGCGCTCAGGGTTGATCAATCTCCTAGGTGTACGTTATGAATTCGACACAATTCGTTTCAACAGAGAACTGATTGTGTTTGCACATATGGCCAATCGAATGACTCTCTTAAGCCTTCTCATGCGTCAAATTACTGCCTTAATGTTCACAGACAAGTTTAGTACTAATTTTCCGACTCTACAGTCTCTAGAGAATTGGTTGGTCTGTGGTGCAGTATTGAACCAACGACCGCGCGTGTACTTCACGCCGTCTCTAACCACTGCTCCCCCCACATCTAAATGTTCAACTTACAACCTCGAAAGTTCTAACATAATGTCAGCTTAGTTTTCACATAAGAAAACCTGAAACCTTAAAGAGTGTTGGAGGATGGTCACCTTAGGCCAGTTATAATTGCAGAGTCGTCAACCACATGCGACTATAATCAGCTGTTCTAAACTTCCTCATTGGAAGTCACAAAAAAGCGGCTCTGAAGAAGGCGATACTGCCGAAACGTCAGCTAGCGTTGTATTGTATTGTGTTTTTATGGAAGTAAATGTATGCTGTTTAAAAACCTCGCGATTGCTGAACAAGAAAACGACACATTCATATAATTGCAGAGATTTAAGCACGAGCAAACATCAATAAAAACAACACTACTTTTTTCCCAATTAGTACTTACAATCATGACAATAAGAGCGATAGCAAAACAATGATAGTGACAACAACGATTGTTGATTTTTAGGGAACAAAGATTGTATAGGTTAAAAAAGCGACGTACCTTTGACTGGTGAATACCGTACCGTCACCGTCAATTCGTAGAAATGAATTATGAGTGGTGGCCAAATGAAAGAATGACTTTTTTTCGTTTGGAAAAAATGTGTCTGGTTTCCATAATCGATCCAAATAATCAACGCCAACCTGCAAAACAACTCCAGAAGATCAAAGGATAACGAAAAGCGTAGGTGAAATGCCAAGAAGGTCAAGGAAGAGTAAAGGAATCTAAAACAAGACCAAAGGATTTCCTATAAGACTAAAGAAACACCCTAATTCTATGATTCATACCGTCGTAATTCACTTTTATTACTATCATGACGTATTCCTACACGCCAAAATCCGAGCTATCAATATACTGAGGCAGTGTTTTCGGTACGAGTTGTCTCTGGGCTACATCAAAATTGTCTATTTGACAGTCAAAGTGAAGAAAAAATCGAAAAATAGTAAAACAGAAACAAAAATGGGATAGAAAATACTTTTAGACAGACGTTGTAGTGCATTTCTTTATTGTTATGTATGCCTAATGGATCTATCTCAATTATTCGATTATCAACTGTTATCAATTATTATTCATATTCGATTATCATTAATACCTTATTTCATTTCTCATCTTTTATCTTCAGCATCGTACTGCTTATTGAATTGCTACAAAGTAACCAAGTCAACAAATCAGTTACTTGGTTCTCCATCTGTGATCGACTAATTTAGACATGTAAAATAAGGAAATGCAGTCCTGATTTCTTAAAAATTTTCATGGCTCTATTCCAGTGAATGTTTCAAGGATGAAGCTTTCTCAAGAACAATAAGCTATTAAAGGCAAAAAGAGAGAAAAGGGAAGTTCTTTCTTCTACTGTACTTTTCAGATTTCACTACTTAGGCATTCAATATCAGTCGTTTGTTTCCCATCGCTGAAATCTTAACGGCGAAAACTCGTCCGATTTGTGATCAGAGCATTTAGTTACTCCTCAACTTTCTGAAAGTGGTCGCTCTCACGGAAGGTGTAGATGTCAAATCCCTAGACTCTTTGTTCTGACGAAATAAACAGGTTCAACTTCTTACGGAAAAGATTGAAGTGCAGAAAATTCCGAAGGATATCAGTGCCAGTATAGCAAAAAAGTTGAGGAAGAGATGGAAGAGGAAAGTATGAAAGGAAACGTCAATAGAGTCATTCATATATAAGCTTCATATACGAACACTTGCAGCGTTGCAAATAGGAATCTTCAGTGAACGGATGATATTGTTGAGGAAATCTAATCGCTTCCAGTTAGCAGAACTTTTCCACATTTATGAGATCTATTCAAGCATTGCCTTCTCATATTCGGTCACTATCAAATCATTCAAACATACTTTCATATTGTAAAATGAAAAAAAATGCTGGTGCTCACCGTTAATGAAGAGATCTGCTTTGACATGCCAAGGTCAAGCGTTCCAAACGCCAATCGTGGATCTTGCCATGTTTGTCGCATATAGAAATCTAGTGTGAAATCCTGAAATATTTCTTACTACAAAAAAATAACCAAAAAAATAAAGAATACTAAACTAGTACTTGAGGACATGTGCTCTGCTGAACTTATACTTTCTACAATAAACTTTAAAAAAAAGATTTTCTGGACAGATCTTAAAAACCAAGGATTTTATGGTACTCAAAACCATGTGACCATTCAAAAAAAAGAAACAGGAAATAAGAAATTAACCGAAAATTTCATTCAAGAACAAAAGATCAAATAAAAACGACCTCAAATATTTTTTGGATAAGTCCTAAGTGCGTAGCAATTTGGCAAAATATTTGAGTAGTTTCTAGAAATCCAGGAAAAAAATAATAGAAAACGTGAGATGTTAGGATCTAACATATGCTCAAGTGCAACTCGTCCACTAAGTTGTCCGAGTTTTCATTCTGTTAGGGGCATAGTCGTTTAAAGGCCTTCAGATGAAACAAGTAAAAACTGGAAGACTCCGTCACAATAGAGCAATTTTTTCTCATTGCTTTTGCATCCATTTAAATCACTTTCATAGCCGCACACTGTTATTACGTTTCTATAGTTTATTAGATGACGATGACGAGAAGTAAAAAACGGTAACCTCCACATTTGGTAATCGGAGTCGTTCACAACACATTCCAAATACGACGTCATCCCTCGTTTTGTTCATATCGATTCCAATCGAGATCGTGTCGAAGTCGTTCGGAAGTTTTGAAGATCACGAAAACTACTGCATACGAGGGTGACGTCGCAGGTTCCATTGTTCACGGAGTCTTGTCTGTATGTACGTTCGCCTGGTGGTGGCGTTTAATTGAACATGTGGACGAACCAGCACTCAGCTCAAAACAGGCTCTCCCAGACGAAGTGTTGAGAAGCAAAATAGAGGAAAACGACTAGAATCAACAAGTGGTGTTCGTTAAGATTACGACAATGATAAATTGATAGTGGAAGACGTTCGATCAATCACAAGTAATGTGCCCAAAACCTCTTCTCTACCTCTCTTTTGAAGATGAATACGATGAAAAAGCAGATGTCATTGACGAAAATGCAGTAAATTGAAAGAAGTGAATAGTTTTCTTGTCAATACTCATCAATGCTGCGCAGCGAAAATCGTAGCCGGATCTTATTTAGCTATTCTTGAAAATAAAGAGATAATCTTAGCACAGGTTAAATATTTCAGAAGGTTTTTCTTTAAAAGATCATACTTAAGCAGTTTCTTCATTTCTATTCAAATTGTATGCCCGCATATAGCTCACACACAGTCTTGATCTACGTGCCAGTCGATCAAGGTGGGAAAATGCACGGTCTTGATCTGTGGGCCAATCGATCGAAGCGTTAAAACACACAGTCTTGACCTATTGGTCAATCGATTCGAGTGGGAAAATTTTTAAATACACGCTTATCATTCTAGGCTTATTAAATTTTCCCTTATATAGTTCACCATAAGGATTTAATTGATTCAATCAATTAAAAATCGAACAGTCAAGTCAATCGAATCAGACTATTCGAAATCGAATACTCGGTCAACTATCCAGCATTCATTCCACTTACCATATCCACCTCTGAAACGGCACTGATCGACGACACATGGATGGTAATACCTACGTCAACCGGCTTGTCACCGTATCTGTAACATTTATATTTTGTTCTAGACATGAGAAACTGGCTCTTTAAAAGATAGTAACCAAAAGTGAGGATGCGTTTCACTTCAAGACGTGCAAATATTGAATATGAAAGTGTTTATTACGATAGAAACGATTCATTACAACAAAACGATGGAAGCTTTAACGACTACGTGGGATAAATCATTCTACGAGGACAAAGAAAAGGTGGCAGATTTTGTTCCGCTTTTGCAGGAGAAAGGAAAGTACATGACTGATTCATACGTGTTCTCTTGCTGTTAAATCTTATGTATAAGATTTTATTGTAAGATTTGTACACTGCACTAGTAAGGCGTCAATTTACTAAATAACCACTCTCGAAAATTAAACTTTAAATACAGTTTGAGAAACCGGCGCAAGTTTAGACAAGGTTAAAAAATATAACATTATTGAAGAAATTAGGGCGAGATGGAAGACCTTTGCTTTCATAGATGACCTCCAATAATGGTGTATTTCGTTAAAATAAGACAGGAAATAGTACTGGCATTACCATTGCCTACTCGGTGTTAACAAAATAGGAGCGATCTCTCATCCAAAAAACGTAGACAACCGAAAAACGTGGTTCCAGAATGTCAATTATTGAGAAATGAAAGGCGTTTACTAATGTCTTGTCAGCTCACAGGGACGAGTTGTCCTGTTTATCGATTGAAAAGGTTTGAGAGTTGACGAGCATGTTTACAGCTGGTCAGCTTTAGATTTCAGTTGTCAATATTCCTCAAAAACAAATCTCGATCTACCAATAAAAAACTGAGATGAGAAGAACCTCAAAACGAGTAAATGCAAAGAAGAAATCCGTATTCCTGAAGTAATTGATTAGTAAGAAATGCGCAAACTAAAGATTTCGCTTATAAAACTTAACTTTTCGAAAATATAGCATAGAAATCTACGAAGGACAAATAGGAAATAGTTTTTTTTCCTTGAGAAAAACTCCTTAGACTTCCCTAAAGGTAAAATGAAGTTTACCTGCACATTTACCTGGGTGCAATACGAGTTAGTGAAGATACTCTTTAGATTTTACGCGTTCAGGCGTTACAACTTGGGCAATTATACTTAAAATCAACGGTGCTTTACACATCACGATGACTTATTTCCCATCACATTAATGCAAAATAACTGGTAATGTCATGGAAATAAATCACACGGGAAGAAGAACAAGAAGAAGTAGCAGATGGTTTTCACGATGACGGAAGAGTTCCAATACTTTCTCAGCAAAGAGATTTCCGTTTCATAGAAATCCTGACTACAACTCACCGTGGTCGTAGCCGCTTATCGTATATCGTTTTATTCGTCAACCTATCCAAAACATGTGATAACTGAGTCGTATCGACGACTATATCGCTGAAATTTTAAAAATATTTCAAAAAAAAGCAAAAAAAAGATTACAAAAAGAAAAACAGAAAAGAGGAAACAGGAAGGACACCTTCATTCAGTTTTCGAATTATTTTTTAAAAATAGCCTTCATTAAAAAAACTAAAGCCCAAACATATGAAAGCCTAATGTATTCTGTACCTACTATCCTCAACCAAGTTTATCTTTTATTCAGTATTTGCCCCTTTTTTTCTAGTATTTTTCTAGTAATATTAAGGATGTTCTATTCGTATACATTAAAAAATTTGTTGAAGTAAGCATGTATAGGTAAGAAAGTATCTGAAAATGAAATAGGAAACGAGGCCAACGAGAACTGTTCTAGGTCTTTTTCTATCCAATGAACAGTTGGTGTCTCGAAGAGTCTCAGATCTAAAATCTTCTGTCTACAGCGTCATTAAGTCCAGAAATAGTCACCGGATCGGAAATTACATATCATTAGCAGGACAAAAAACCATGCTGAGATGCATTTTTTTAATTGACAAGCCAACACTAGGTTGATTAGAAAGAACTTTATTCAGGCAACGCTTCGGCTCCTTAGCTTTTTCAGAGCCAGATTGATCCAAGTCGATTGTCCAACTTTGTTGCTTCTTCTGAATTGTCCAACTTTGTTGCTTCTTCTGATGTGACCTTTTGTGATCGAAGCGAGTCGAGTCCGGAACTATCATTTGAATAAAGAAAGGAGAAAAATGTTAAAGAAATGGTGGATTTTGAAATGATGCCAAACCTCATTTTTTCCTTGTTGTAACAAAAGTATATAAAGTCCATCTACGAGCGATCCTGATAGTAGTCACTTAGTCATCGAATAAAACAAGTTCAGAAGAGACGAGAACCGACTACAGTGATCAGCTTAGCATTGTGCCCTAGATGACCTTCGTTAAATCCTTTTCTTATTGAATTTCTTTTTCTACGAGGAAATGACACCGATGTGTCAGTGGACGGGTTTGAGAAAAAAGGAAAGAAGGAAAAAGCAACAAAATATTATTTTACGGTTCTACTTGATAGACAGAGCCTTGCTGCTCGTTCATACAAACCAATCGGTTTTGAATAATAGTTGCTTTAATGAGCTTCATCGTACCAGACTTTTGGAAGCATAAAATAGAAAAGTTTCTAAGTGGTCACGAGGGTGGAAATATTTAACTAAAACAGCTTAGAAAACGTAGTCCTGTCAATTTGAAGTAGTTAGCCAGGACTTCAATTTACTTCACGTAAGTCTATTGGCTTCACTCACTGAACGATCTCGTTCGGTTAGGTCTTGGTCGGAGTGTTTATGATTCCTAATCTCCTTCAGAGCGTGGGAAGAGCCGCGATGGAGGTGTTGTCCAATAATAAGCGCGAAATCGCGGTTAGACCTGCCGCCGGTCAAGCAAGCCTCCTATCCCTCCATAGTCGAGAAACTGGCAGCAGATTTATCTGGGAGCATCTCCATTCAATTCAAAAATCCTTACTACTTCTTGCACTGCAGACATGAGAGCGCTCTAGAACGGTTATCCCAAGATTCCAGAGAAAATCAACTTGACTTGTATTCAACGAATTGATTAAGAATGTCAAAATCTTTCAGCAGCAGCCGAATCCACAGTGAAATATGATTTCCTTCGTGGATGATGAATGCGAGGAAATGAACCGAATGAAGAAAGTGGTGGGATACACGCAATATCTGACCTTGAGCCATTTTAAAATAATGTCTTTCAGCTTATGCATAACTATAGATACCAATGGTGCTTCTGATAAAACAATGACGCTATAGGTCTAGAAACATGGATGAAGTTACAAATCCAAAATATTGAATCCGGGTCCGTTTTGGATAGAAAAACTAACGTGACAACTTGGCTCCGTAAGACTTTCAGCCATAGCAACATGTAATTTTTTTAACTACAGATCTGAAATACTTGCAAGCAAATAGTGTTGTAGTAAAGACGACAAATTGTTAACTATGACGATAAAGATCACGAGTAAAAACAAAGGAGTAGTGCTTTACCGTGGAATCCTATTTCATTTAGAGACCTACTCGGTTTGTATAATGATAGAGAGTGTAGCTTAAAGTTAAGGAAGTCCTGGAATTTATCCATGATATTACTCCCTCACTGTAAGGTGACTGTCATCATCCCAGGCAAGAAAGTTGGCACACGACCTGATTGGCAGGATAAAAATAGATGACAAGATAGACCGCTAGGCCTCCGCAAGCGACCTCTACGATGCAAGGAATGGAGTCGAATGCATGACGCATCCCTTTGAGATAGATGAATCCTTTGTGTTTTGACTATAATTCTTTACAAGGCAATGTGTCTGCAATTTAGTGCTTCGTCTTGTATTTTCCGAATCACTAAAAATTTATCGTTAGCCAAAAGATGGGATCAGTTGATCTCGACGGGAAATCGATCTATGTCGCCCACGCAGTCCCTTCAGATTTTCGTCATCATCGGAAAATTTACTCCTAACATCTCCGAATGATTAACCTCATGTAAGCCAACGGTTTTTAACTCAAAAGTTGGAAATTGGAAGCAAATCGTAGCTATAAAGACTGATAGTGAAAGCTATAACAAAACAATAGACGAAAGATATGATATGGCAAGAAGTCGTGAGTATACCGAAGTAATGTGACCTCTGGTTGGAATAAAATGACTACTACATCTACAATGCAATTGGACGAGCACTCAATTTCCCAACGACTCTCTTCATGAGAACTATTGATTATTTCGATTGGTTGACTGAAGCTGACAATTAGCTCAATTATCGATCTAATCATTTCGCAACATTTTAACTAATGCAGTTTTCCCATAGCTATAATGATGAAAAAAGGTGATTGCGTAGATTAGGATTTATGTCCGTTTATTCACTTGTTTGTATGACCTCTACCCATATATTTTGGAGAACCCAGCAACTTTTTCATTCTGTTCATCGCCTCCCAGTCATCCCTAATGGTCTTCGGATTTTTGTGTGGGTTCGTTAGTAACGCAGGGTTTGTCGTCCTCTTCATGAACGTCAATGAAAGCTCGTAGAACTGATTATCCTTAAAAGCTCTCCCTAGAGTTCTTAAATAGCTCCACTAGGACGCTCCAAGGTCTTCAGCATAGATTCTCGCTGGCGTATGAAAAAGAGAGAGCTGCTAGCATAGAACTCTGGAACGACTTCGTTGACACCGGAATAATGCGAGAGGCTGGGTTGGTCCAATGAGGCTTCGAACCAGATGTTCGGATCGAGTGGTAGTGGTGTCGATTAACCGAAAATGAACACTTAAGTTGTTTTCACCGGTTTATAGCTATACTTCCAAGCGCTTTGAAGCTATTGCACGTTGCTTGAATTTGTAGGTTCATAACTTTTGAGTTAATATGCGAACACGCAGTTATGAGTTCTTTCTTACGAAATTTTACGAGAAGATGCCCAAAGTTTAACGATAAAATCGCCCAGATGGTTCCAAATAGTCTAAAAGAAAGTTTTAAAGAAGAAACCTTAAAGCTCAAAAGCAGAGAGTCTAACTCTAACAACAGAAAGTCTAACAGAAAGTTTAACTACAGTAGGAAATATAACTGTACCGTACTCAAGGTATACGCTACTCAAAATTTGTATCTACTGGGAAATTCTGATTACTTACTTACTGGATACTCGAATGAGTCCTCCTCATTAATTGTGCGGACCCCAGCACAATCTCCACTTTCCGGAGATTTGCTGGTTGAGCCATTGTGGTTCTCTGGAATCCCACAGTCAGCCTGGTCAAAGTCTGCCCCAGGTCTTCACCACCACAGGAAGTTGCAGCTCTTGTGGATCGGAGGGAAAATTCTGTGACTATGTCAATTCTTTCTGCGCTTTCAAAGACACTATTCAGTACATATGTTAAGAACACTTGCTGACTTTTTCCATGAAGAGTATGGTACAAGATTCGAATAAATCAATCAAATCAATTGATCTGAAGGGAAAAAGTTCAGGCATCCCATAGCTACCGAATCTTTGCCCTCATCTTACGAAGACCTTTATTCCTTTTATCAAACGCGGAATCGATTGTTGCTATTACTACTATTGTTACTTCTGTTTTCATCAATTATATTACTTGAATTAATTAGTTATTTTATATATTTTATATTACTTGAACTACTGTTTATAATTCCACCAAAACTTTCAAAAAGTTCTTAAGCAAATCATATCATGGCACAAATAATAAACAAATTGAAGAAGCATATAATTAGTTGGTCACTCCATAAAATATGGAACAAGTCAAAAGGAAAACAAGCGTTTTCTACTTTTTAACGCTTATCGGCTTCGACGACCGTTAAAACAACGTTTGTAATTGAATTTCATTAAAACTGACAACGCAAAAACTTTCAGGAACTCACTCGTCTTCCGCTTCTGTCACAATGATTCCAGTGACAAGGGCAAAAAAACTGTATATCCGCATGATTACAGTACGGGTTGAGTGCGCGGCCAATAGTGGATTAGGCGATCATGCTGGAGTGGCGCGTTCCAGACATGCTCCACAATAATATATACCGTAATGTATACCGTAATCGGACAGCGACGGTCGGAGTGTGTCGGATTAGCGTAACAGACGACGATGACGACGATGACGACGACGATCGGAGCAGCAGCGAAAGCAGTCGTTGTCGTTGACGTCGACGAGAGTTCGTTGGCGCAACACTGCCACCAACTGTTGGCGGTCGGCAGGTGTGGGCGTGGCCGAGTTGTGGGCCGACGACGAAAGCCTCTCTAAACCCGATCGATTTCCGAGAAAAGTGTTAGGACCGAAAAGAATATGATAGACGAGAATTCCAAACAAAAACATCACTAGAAAGGCTAGAAAGATGACATTATTCTTAAGAAAATACGCTAAGCAGCCAGAAGTATGATTTGAATGCCCGCTAACATCGATGCTCGCGAAAGGAGACGCTTAGGTTTGTTTATTTTCCTGTTGAAATGAAGTTAACAGTGAGGAACGAAAACAATAGAATCGCTAAAAGCGGATAAAATTCTAAAAAACACAATTAATCAGATTCTAGCTTCATCGATATGGTGGTGGCTGACTGGTAATATCAGAAATCAATGATTTTAAGACGACAAAGAAAAATTGACGTGAAAATCGATTGAACAGACGAGGAGGTGTTTGTCCAGAATTGTGAAGGAAGAAAAATTGAGTAGGTGCTCAGTAGAAAACTTTCAAACTTTCAGTTGAGCTAATTTTCTTAAGAACAACGTTAAGCTAAAACATTAAGGGTCTTCTTCTGCAATACAATCTTATTAAACAATATCCAACGACCGATTTTACCCTTCGAGTAAAATATATAAAAAAAAGTATGAAATGAAAAGATTGTAAAAACTGGCAAAAAGCAAAAGAAGAGCAAATGTAACCAAGAGTGCTTTCCAAGTGTATAGAACTATGATGCACATAAGTCACATCACGGCAGAGTTACTCAAACTGAGGCAGATATTTCCATACAGAGGTCCATTTAGGAGAAGTAAACCAACGCCAAGATTTGCCATTACGCTGGAAGAAACCCGATAACCATGTGTCACATCTTGTTATGATCAACAAAAGGTGATGACTGCTAGCCCTCGAGAGAGCTGGGAATGCACTGGTAGATAGTTGTGAGGACTCCAAGATGACTAAAAGCTTCAGGAACTAGCAGTCCACTAAGATCACTCAGGTTGAAGGATACTGAGCTAGTTGACCAAGAAATGCACTATAGCAGGTGTTTATTGGGATTCCAGAAAACCCAAAAGCTTGTAAAACCAACAAACTGTAAGCCATTGAAGGACACCCAGCTGATTAGTGATGGGTTATGTGGCGCATCTTTAGGCGACGGATAAGGGACGTTCAGTGCGGACCAACGAGAGCCTGTATTTGCTTTGGCCCACATACGAATATGTGGTATGGACGACTTGTTCCTACTGTGCCGGATTAACCTCTTATATGTATGTAGACATATGCACGAATGAATACACCTTATGCATATTTCATTATTTTCTTGATAAGCAGACAAAATGTTGTTAGCAAGAATATTTATTCAGTGCAATACTGGCTGAAGTTTCAGGCGCTTTCGCCCTCACCACAGCCTTTTGTTTTCTTTTCAAATCTTCCACTTATTTAGTGGAGACCAGCCGTACAAAGTCTTACATGTGTCAGGAATGTCTGCCAGTATTGTACTGAATGAATCATGTTCTTAACAATCTCGTGTCTGCTCACCACGAAAACAGTGAAATATTTTACATTTGAGTGAAATATGTCGATATTAATGAGAACTTGGTCTTGGGAATTACCTTATGTATGTGCGTAGACGTATTCTTAAATACATGTGTGTGTGGGATTGGGTATACCCCAAATTACATATGTATCCTTAACGTCCATTTAGCCAAAAAATTGCAACCAAGCTTCTTGGGAATCTGTGAGAAGTGATGGAATCATACCTTAAAGAAAACAAGCTCCATGCCTTCTCCGGGAAATGGCGAAGTTTTCTATAAAAAGACCCTACATCTGCGGCCGGTGGGCATTCGTAGTTAAAAACAATTTTAAAAAAACAGCCTCATAACCATAAAATGAAAAAAAAACAAGTTATTCGATATATGGCCTGGATGAATGCGGAAGGGACGAGAAAATATAAATGTTATTCTATCCTGGTAAAATCTGGAAGAATATGACGACCGTCTGTAAGTATGACGTAGGTGCTTTGGCTTCGGATCCTTCCATTGAAAGATCTCAAAGTGCAAATTAATATCAATAAATACGATGCAATACAAATACGATGAATTGGAGAAGAAGAGGAAGCCACCGCATTCAAATAATGCCCAGGATACTTGGACTTGTGGTACGATCAAGATCACCAATGTAACTGGCAATTCCAGAATCCTCCACTGAACGTTCTATCAGGGAGCATTTGAGTGAAGGATGGCATGAAAAAAATTGGCTGCATCCTCGTAAATAGAAAGTTTTACCTGGTTTATCGGATTATCTCAAAGCGCAACATAGGATTGGGCTGTCATCTTATTAGCCAGGAGTTCTATTCTCAAAAAAGGACAGACCTCGGAAGACACTGGAAGCAAAGGCTTAGAATCATCACGAGTTGGGGTTTGCTTACTTATATGTGTCAATCGTCGGAGAACATTATTACTAGAAACATCTTGAAGAATTATGCCTACGTTATAGAACAGGTTCACGGCATTACTAAAGAAGCAGAGAGCTTGAAAGACAGGAACACGTATATATCTCCAAAGGACTCGAACTGATATGTTATCATGGAACCGCACAAGCCGTGGGCAATATCTTCAAAGAAGCGGTAAAAAAGATCTTAAAAAAGAGCAGCAATAATAGTTAAAGCTGCAGAAAATAAGCAGCACATCCGCATGCAATGCCAGCCGATACCAATTAGAAAACCAATACGATCGCGCTCTTACGCCCAGATGAGATAATCTCTGCTTCCAGAAGGCTAATGAGGAAGGTCATCAATGACTTGCGCTTCAATAACGTCAGTAAGGTGTTCATTTCTCTCTACGTCACGACAGTGAGGACGGGCATGGCCTGCTAGAAGCTCTCCTTTCTGAAGTCCGAATGCTGTTCCATTCGTGAAGAACAGGACAGAAGGCGACATAAATAGGACGCGACCATCTTAAAAACCTAAAGTTCCAATTAAAAGGTTGGCTTGACCTTTAACCGTTTCTTACCGGATTGAAAAGTAAAATGGAAACCCGTGAGTGCCGAGTGATTACATAAAAAAAAACTAGTCGTACACTATGCTGGCTTTCCACTAATCTGTCAAAGTTCCTTCCTTCTGATCATATCCATGAGATTACGAAACGCATTAAAGTACCCAGAGAAGGTAGACCTATGTTCCGCTTTAACCCGCTTGAAAAGACCGTCGACTAGGTCTGTAGATGCCTATCGCAGAAGGTGTGAATAAGGCCTTTCTTGCTTCGCACACCAAGTCCTTTTGTGGACCACAAAATAGCTTGAGAACTATAATTCGTACGCCCCAGATATCATCATCAGTGTAAGAAATGATGTTCGACAAAACCACAGCATTTCCTGACTGAATAAAGTGAATGAGTTAACTTTGCTGATGATATCGGTCTTACAAAACTGGTAATTATCCAGACAGAACAAATGACGTCCGATTTGAATACGACAGAAGGATTGAACTTTATCAAAACCCAATAAAAATGATTTTCAAAAAAAATGCATTTGCTCCTCATACTCCATTAACGTGCAATGGCACTAATATTGTCAGATGTTCCAGTGCTGTATATAAATCAACGTGACGACTTGATCATTATGTTCCGAAACTGAGCAGAAAGAAGCAAGCAACTTGGCAAAGTCACAAAACCATCAAGTAAGTAGAGAAGAGCTCAAGAAAATCCTGACCTCGTGGCCAAGTTTTTCAACTCGTGATTCTTTTAGCCCTGATACGCTCCTTCGAAAGAAAAGGATCGTACCACTTAAGTTGGTTAACGATTACTCACCGTTGGAGACCGTTTTACTGACACTATGAGATGGGAAGCGAGAATCCGAAGTTCGAACTTAAGCTAAAGACCAATAACTAACGACGCTGACGCATGAGTCAAAATAGCAGTCAAATAGACAGAAGATTTGATGCGTCTTAAAGTTAAACGAGGGACAAGTGTCATAAGGGAGCAGTTTCTAAGGGGGTAGCGAGAACCCCACTAGGACAGCACAAGGCTTGAGAATTCTTAGAAGAAAAAACACTACAGATAAAAAATAATGGTCAGATAAAATAGACGCTGACTATACAAAGAATTCGTTACCCAATTTTAAGGCCAACGTTTGCTTAAATAACTCAAGTAAGTCAATATAAAAGACGACAATCAATAAAAAAATCTCCTGTTCCGGACTCTGTAAGTCGTGAACTTCATCTCGCTGTTGGAAAAGCGTCAGAAGAAGAGATACACGATGAATATGTAAAAGGTGTCGTCGTCTAACGCATGATGGCAGCGGTGACAACGTGACTGCTGTTGCTAAGCGAGTAGTTGTCGTGGGTAATTAATCGACTTCGACATTAACAACAACACAACAACGTTCACTTTTTTCTCGTAACTGATCTTGACTAACTTTTGTCTCCTATACACTCAGTGGAAACGTTTCGAAATATTATATAACATGTCAGAATATAACATGCCCAGAAGCTTTTGAAATGCAAAAGAAGAAAGTGACTGCATCTTAGTGGTGCAATAAATCGTTCATATCAACTTGTTATTGGGGAAACTATGTCTACTAAGTCATGACGACTTGGAAATATGCCAGAATAAAACATTCTCAATAGCGTTAAACATTATGATTTCAACTACAGCCATAGCTTAACTGGGTTCTATGCCGATTTGCGCTCCCCAGATCAACCCCGCTGACGGGTGATTGCTGTGGCAAAAAGATCGATAGAAATAGCTGAGAGACAGGCGAAACGAAGAACCCGCATGGTGTGGTGGTGAACGCGTTACTCCGCGGAAAGGATAATAGCGCGTTCGTTCCCCACCATAGACACCTGCGGTCCAGAGTTTTGCAAATATCTCAGCAACGTTGTGGTCGTATTTCACTTAGTAACCTGCCATGAAAATTATAGAAGGCAGAAAACAAAACGTTAAACATTCTCAATAGCTTTTCGAAATTCCAAAAAAAAGAAAAGGCGTACATCTTAGTGGTGCAATAAAACGTTCCTTTCAACTTGCTATTAGGGACACTATGCCTATTAAGTCATAATAAGCAGGAAAGTGTCGAGAGTGGAACATAAAGGAATTCATGCAAAACTGTTGTTGAAAAAACTTTTCTTCACAAGGGCAACATAT